TGCATATGGATTTCCAGTTTTCCCAGCACCATTTGTTGAAGATGCTATCCTTCCTCCTTTGCATGCTTTTAGCCCCTTTATCAAATATAAGATAGTTATAACTTTGTGGATTAGTCTCTGTGTCCTCTATTTTATACCATTGGTCCACCCGCCTGTTTTGGTAAATGAACCCAGGGCAACTACACCACATCCCCAGGCCTTTTTATTTTTGAGATGAAGTCTCACTAAGTTCCTGAGAATCTCCCTAAGTTGGGGAATCTGGCCTCCAAGTTTGAATCCTCCTTTCTCAGCCTCCTGAGTCCTTTGGATATTGTTATGTGCCACCCATCCAGAAGGTCTCAGTTTATATGCAAAAAGTATACCTTGGAAAACGCTTTCATAACATTGAAAGTAATTTTTTCTGGCTGAAGGGTCAGAAGTCAAAAAGGAAATAAATGACTGACTCCTGATGGAAAAACAAAAAGAACATGGATACTTAGACAAATCACAACTAGCAAACTCTTAAAAACCTAGACTGATAAAAGGTTAATATCCCAGGGATACATAGAACATCATGAGTCAACCATGGGACAAAGGAAAAATTCCTGCAATTCAAAAGGGAATCACTGCACATAGTAACTGTCAAAGATGTTCAACCTCTGAATGTCAGCACATACACTACTGAGAGGTCTTATGTCCCCATTGATGGGCAAGGTTTTAAGGCTGGTGCTGAATAGCCCTGGTGAGAATACAGGAGACTGAGGCCTGGGCAGATCCCCTGGGAGATGCAGCCACGGATACTCCTCCAAATCATCGGGAAAAGTCCTTAGCATGTGTCCCTTCCTTCATCCAGCAGGTCCAAAGCTAGGTACTTATCCTGCCAACACTGTTGGAAATGGCCAGAACTAGAGCCCTCAGTAACTTCCATGTACAGGTGGTGGATGGCCACATCTGCTCCCTACCCACCAAAGAACCCTGTGGCTGCTGAGGTGGGTCTATCTGTGCCACAAGGAGAGAAGTCAAGGAAGCTGTTACATGAACACAATGGTGTGTTCAGGGTGTCTCTACAGAGGATCTCATTTGATAAAGAACACATCAATGATGTAAATCTGCATGTGCCCACAGATGTAATGAGTGCAAGTGAGAACTGCTTTGGCTTTTTCCCACAGGATTTGGTATAGGACTAATGGTACCAGGTAACAGGCTGAGTGCTATGGCCTGGCCTTCCACAGTAATTGCTCAATGTGTGGGAGTCCATCTCTGAAGTAGCAAGGAAGGGCAAGTTCAGGTTCACAGAAAGGAGTTATGCTGGGGTTCTGCTTCACTTTTTCTTTCCTGTCTGAGAAGCAGCATTCTAAACTCAACTTGGATGACCTTTGAATAGGCCAGACTGTAAAGTTACTGTAATATTACAAAAACCACAGCAAAACCTATAGGTATAGGCCAATATACCTCATGTCTATAGCCACAAAAATCTTTAACAAAATAATGGTAGAGCAAATTCAACAGAACATTCACTAAATCATACACTAGGACCAAGTGAGATTTATACCAGGGTGCAAGAATGCTTCAAAACACACAAATAATTCAGCTTCATAAGCCATGCTGACAGAATGAAAGATAAAAACATATTATCTCAATAGGAGTAGAAAAAATCATTCTAAAAAAATCAACACTTTTGCATGATGCACATCCTCCAAAAATTAGGTAAAAAGGAAAGCACCACAAGACAATAAATGTCACACAGGATCTGCCACATCAAACATCGTATGTGGTGGCTGAAAAATGGAAAGCTTTTCCTTAAGATCACCACCAAGGTGAGGCTGCCCACCCTGCAGCAATGTCTGTTCTATGTAGTGCTGAAGACCCCAGACAGAGGAATCTGTTAGGAAAAAGAAACCACAGAGATCCAAACCAGGAAGGAACAAGAAAGGGTCACCTCTGTTGGCAGAGGACAAGTCCTCTTCATAGAAAACACTACAAAATTCTCCAATAAAAACCATTAGAACCAATCAACAAGTTTGATGAAGGTTTGGGAGATAAAAATCCACCCGAAAAAAATCAGATGCATTTCTATATCCTTAATAATCACCTATCAAAAATAATAATAATATTTCATTTGTGATAGCACCAAAAGGAACAAAATATTTAGAAACAAATAGAGCCAAATCAAATGTATTCAAAGGAAGAAAATTTATCTGCATACTGAAAATCATTAAACACTGATGAAAGAAAATGAACACAGACATGGAGGGAAAGATACAGTGTGCTTTTGGATTGAAAAATAAATACTGCTAAAATGTCCAAGTTACCCAAAGCAAGAGATTCAGTGACATTTCTGTCAATCTAGCAATGACAATCTTACTTGATATAGACAGAAAATCCTTTAATTCAATAAGACCACAAAAGATTATGAATAGTCATCTCCTCCTGACAAAAAAGAACGTACGAGAGGCATCACAGTACGTGATTACGAGTGCCCTAACAATCCAGTCAGATACCAACATGAAAGCTGACACAAAGAAGAGAACAGAGAATACCACAGGAATATAGAACACAGGAGAGGGCTCAGATACAAACCCACACACACAGATTCAATTACAGAAAAGGCACCAAGAACTGACAATAGGGAAGGGACAGTCTCATCCATGTATGGTGCTGGGAAAAGAGGATATTTACATGCAAAGGAGTGAAGCTGGACCTGTATCTTACACAGTACATAAAAGTGAACCAGAAATGGATTAAAGACACAGAGCAAATCCACATAAATCTGATTCCTGCCAAAGGTGCCAAAAGCATACCCTGGGGAAACAACAGCCTCTTTAGCAAATGCCGCAGGGAAAACTGAATAGTTATATAATATAAAGAAGAATGAAACTAGATCTCTTTTACTGTGAGCACGGAAAAAAAAAAAAGAAAGAAAAACACCCCAAAGTGGGTCAAAGTTCTAGGAATTAGGCCAGAATTAGACCAAATTGTATCAAGAAAACAGGGAAACACTCGAACACATTGGCAGAATTACTGACTTCCTTAATAAGATCCTAAAACTCAAGACATAAAAGTGAGAATTAATAAGTGTGACAGTATCAAACTAAAAAGATTCTGCACAGCAAAGAAAACAAGAATGTGAAGAGAGCCTACAGAATGGGAGAAAATGTTTGTCAGATACTCTTCCAACAGGGGATTAATAACCATTATTATATAAATGTTATATGTTGACAATAAAACAATCTTAATGAACCCAATAAATGGGCAAAAGAACCTAAAGGGAGATTTCTCTAAAGGAGAAATTCAAATGGCCAACATGCATATAAAAACATGTTCAACATCCGTAGCCATCAGGGAGATGCAAATCAAACTAAATTGAAACCAGGCGCAGAAACACACACCTATAATCCCAGTTGCTTCCCAGGCTGGCAGGAGAATTGAAAGTTCAACACCAGCCTCAGAAACTTGGTGAGCCCGTCTCAAAATAAAAAATATAAAAAGAGGGTGGGTATGTGGCTAAATGGTTAAGAACCCCTGGGTTTAATCTCTGGTACAAAAACCCACACTGAGATTTCATCTCACCCCAGTAAGAATGACAATCATCAAGAATACAAATGATAATTGCTGGTGATGATATGGGGGAAAACGTACCCTAACACATTGTTGATGGGACTGCAAATTATTACTACCACTTTGGAAAGCAGTATGGTGATTCCTCAAAAGACTACAAATGGATCCACTATATGGCCCAGCTATCCCAATCCTTGATAATTATGACAAAATTTAAAATCAACATACTAAAGTGATATATGCATAACAAAGTATATATTAGGACAATATACAATAGACAAGTTATGGAACCCGCCTGGGTACCCACCAATAGAAGAAAGGATAAATAAAATGTGGTATATAAACACAATGGAGTTCTATTCAGCCATAAGAAAAATGAAATTTTGTCGTTTGCTAGTAAATGGATGGAAGTGGAGAACTTC